GCGTATCTCCTGCCAGCCAGCTGGTCTTCGGGTGCTGTGCATGCGTGGGGGGTGGGGCGCGTGCAGAGGCGCTTGTGCACATGCACGGGGGGTGGGGTGCATGCACGGGGGGTTGCAGGTTGGGGCAGGAGGCTTTCCAGGCCCAAAACAGAGTGTGGGGGGGCATGTGAGCCCCCCCCCGTGCCCCATTTTGGGCCTGGAAAGCCTCCTGCACCAACCTGGAAGCCAAAACAGGGCACATTGCATTTTGGGGGTTTGGGCATGGGTGCGTGCATTCGCGTGCATGTGCGCTTTGGGCACTCGGCACCAAAAAGGTTAACTATCACTGGTCTACATGATGGCACATCTACCTCCTCCTCCCCCTTTTTTAACTACATTTAAGCTAAAACCTCTGCTTATTATTTTTAAACTAATAATCAAAATCAAGTTTTCAACACCCATCTTTTCTCCTTCAGTATGATTAATCTTTCCTCTTGCACTTCTTTTCACCTTCGGTATGATTAATCTCTCTCTCTTGCCACTCCCTCCTATTAGAATCCCTGGGGCTTTTCTAGGTAGGCAAAAGTACCCATTGTTCATATTCAAAAAGAGTATTACCTGCAGAATTAAAACAAAATATAAGTGGGGCCACATTATCATCATTAATTTGCCAATTGGTTATATCTGTTTAAGTTCCATATCACAGAAACATGTACAATGTGCTGAGTCTCATACTGGAGAACCACTGTTTTCATAGCTGTCTAATATTTGCTGATGTGCTTAAAAATCTCAGAATTGGGCAATTCACTGAATAGTTTTTTATACAGTGTCAACTCTGACAAAACATTTGGAATGGAATGGAATGGAATGGAATGGAATGGAATGGAATAGAATAGAATAGAATAGAATAGAATAGAATAGAATAGAATAGAATAGAATAGAATAGAATAGAATAGAATAGAATTCTTTATTGGCCAAGTATGATTGGATACACAAGGAATTTGTCATAAATCAGAAAAGCTCAGGAATATTGGAAAAGCTCAGGGGGATCTTCAGCCAACACAACATACCTGCACACTTCAAACCCCAGAATACACTAAGGCAGAAGCTTGTCCACCTCAAGGATAAAACACCCAGATACAAACTGAGCAACAATACAGATTCCATTCCCAACTGTGTTGTTCAAATCCCTGGAGAGCTTCAACCAAGTTCATAACTTTACAGAGCCTGACATCTTGGAAGATTCACTTTTTACATAGAGACTTATAAATTACACCACACATCTAAACCATTCTTTTTAATCACAAAGTGGTGGTGTAGTTCTTACCCTAAAAATAGCACATAAAAAGAAAAAACTTGCCTCTTCTCTTCCCGGCTCCAGAATGCAAAAATATATTCTGCATAGGTAGGCACACGGGTAAGTAGGACACTCATTGTATGGAAAAGGTTATTACAAGGGTCTTATATTTTAATGTTATGAATTTGATTTGTTGATTGTATTTTTTTTTAAGTTATAAGTCACAGAGGGGAATTGTATTCTTGTGGTTTGAGAGATCTATAGGCCCTATAGAAGAAAGAAATTCAGAGAACTAGTTTGGTCTAGTGGTTAAGATAGAAGGTAAAAAGTGGGAGACTGTGAGTTCTAGTCTGGCCTTAGCCATAAAAGCAAGCTGGGTGACCTTGGGCCAGTCACTTTCTCTCAACCCAACTCATCTCACAGAGTTGTTGTAAGGAAAATAGGAGAAGGAAGGTGTGTTGGATATGTTCGCCACCTTGAATTATTTGCAAAAATAATCGAGGTGGGATACAAATCCAAATACAAAAATAGATTTAGCTACATGCTATGCAATAACCACAGTATAACATTTTGCTTTGGAGTCCAGTGATTCTCAAGACTTTCTCCAAATTTAAAAGAAACATAATCTAACCACCTATCCTTACCAGCCTGATACTTCTCCAATTGTTTTATACTTCCAACAAGTATATTCTGCTCCATATTGTAGTCCTTTGCAACCGTTTCAAATTTGGATTTGCTATATACATAGCTATCTGCTATCAAATTAGCATCCTTTCTTATTATATTTTTTTAGTAAAATTGTTTATTAAGACTTTTGAAAATAAGATTAAAAACTAACTAATATAAAGTGCAGAAAAGAGGGAAAGGGGAAAAGAAAAGAAAAGAAAAATGCAAAAAGAAAGAGTGAAGCAAAATAGAGCTTCTGATTTTCTCTGCAGCAAATATAAGTACAAGTACAAAATTATATTTCACTCTATGGGTACAAAAAAAAAGCTCTTTGTCTATTATCTATTTTTTTCAAATCATCAACTCACTTAACTAATGTCGTGGTTAGCAACAGAAATTTGGGGCTCAATTATGGTCGTAAGTCAAGGATTACCTGTACAACCTGATATCCTGGTCTATCTGGAGCAGGGATAATGAAATATGGGACTTATTTTTACAAAATAGAAAGGTTTAAAAAAGATAGCTATTTAAAAGTATTAAAACATGTACATACTGGAATAATAATTACTTTAAATAACTATATATTGAATTGTAACTATTCACTGCAAAAATAATATACTATATATCCTTTTTTATCTTTTTTTGAGCATTTTCTACGTGTGTTTTTATTTAATTGACAATGTATGTATTTTTATGGGTTTTTTAAAATTTGTCTTTTGTCATTAATTTAAACAGCAATAAAAAAATTTAAAAAATCTTTGCTGCAAAGGAAATCTCTCTTTATCTGCAGATTAATTACTTCCAAAGGTGTTTTTAAAATGTGAATAGCTAGACTCTTTGTCCACAAAGGGTACATTAATTACTGTGAGCATAGATGGAATCCAATAATGTCCAGCTGTTCAACTCCCATAACAACTGCAAAAACTTTCATTTCTGCAGTTTACTCATGAGGACTGTGGGTTATCTCACAGTCTCTCTTTGACCCAGAGAGATTTCACCGGTCAGCAACTACCCTCAAGCCAGAATTCTTGCCCATAACAACTCTCAGCTCCTCTGGAGATGTTATAGTCCACCATAACCCTCACTGGAAGCTTCATCCTTTCATGTTATAAGTATTGCTGTTTGATATCAAACCTCCTAGCCAAAGAAGGAGGATGTTTTGAGTTTGATGCCTGATATGCCTTAAGATAAAGTGAAGTATATTACTCATTTTGCAGCAGAGAACATGCACAAAGAGTAGCATAGAATTGCTTTCCCTCTACACCTGTGCTTTCATCTGCTAATGGTTTCCTAATTAGCAATAATTGTCTCTTATCTGCCCCTAGAATCATGAAGCACACTGAACCTGCCATCAGAAATCACAACCAAGTGGTCTTGTAATCAAGACCTAATTAAGAAGAAAATGCAGACTTCATTATCTTATGGCATGTGTTTTGTTACTGCAAACGTAATTAATTAGAGTTCAATTAATCCAAAAATGGCTTGTTCTTTCCCTACTGTGGGTGTGATGGTAGGGAAAACAAGTTTGGTCTTTGGAGACTTCCCTTTCTTCTGTAGCATGTGGAATCCCTCACTGTGAATAGGATTCAGTCTAGTTTCCAGAAGACCAGCAGAGGGAACTGTGACAGGTGAACTCCTGCAGGCTTCTGTCTTAGTTTAGAAGCAATAAAAATAAAGGAAAAAAGAGAAACCGTGTTTCATTCAATGTGTAACTCAGAAAGTTTCAGTACATACTAGAAGATTAATGTTAGTCCTTCAAAGTAGGCCAGGTCAGTAAACAGTCATCCTATGAACTACTGGAACTCTACTTCATTGTTATGAGCTATATCAACAGCATCTTGAAATCTTGACAGATTCCCTTCCCTTCCCTTCCTCATATACAAAAAAGACTCAAGGCAAGGCAGTCTTGAGTTTCTTCCTAAATGGAGGTTGTGGGCACCTGGATGGGGGATCTGGGACTTTATCTTCTTTGACTCTGAATGGGGTGGCACTGCCCCAGATGGATCCGCAATCCAGGGGGTTCTCCTGGACTTGTGACTCCTGCTCTAAGAGCAGGTGGCAGTTATGGCTAGGAGAGCCTTTGCACAACTTTGGGTTGTGTGCCAATTGCGGCCTTTCTTGGGTCAGGATTCCCTGAGCGCAGTCATTCAGGTATATGCAGGGGTGAAATGCTACCGGTTTGCCCAAACCGGTAGTAAAAAAGGCTACTGGTTCGCCGAACTGGTAGTAAAAAATGTAAATAAAAAAAAAAAAGTTCAGATGATCAGCTGAGCGATGCGCGATCGTCAGAACTTTTTTTTAAAAAATTTTTTACTACCGGTTCGCCGGAACTGGTAGTTAAAAATGCTTTAAAAAGTAAAAAAAAAAAAGTTCCGACAATCGTGCGTCACTCAGCTGATTGTCAGAACTTTTTTTTTTTTTTTTACTTTTTAGGCATTTTTTTACTACCGGTTCGGGTGAATAGGTAGTAAAAAATGCTTTTAAAAAGTAATAAAAAAGAGGCTCCAACGATCACAGCTGTGGCGCACAATCGTCAGAGCCTTTTTTAAAAAATACTTTTTTAAAGCATTTTTTTACTACCTATTCGCCCAAGCCGGTAGTAAAAAAATGCATTTAAAAGAAAAAAAAAGGCTCTGACAATCATAGCTGTGCTGCACGATCGTCTGAGCTTCTTTTTTTAACCTTTTAAATGCATTTTTTTACAACTCAGGTGAGCCGGTCGTAAAAAAATGCTTTAAAAAAGTTTTTTAAAAGCCTCTGATGATCGTGCGCCACAGCTGATCACACACATACCCCGCATACTGTTCTATTTACCTTCCCAAGCCTCCTTTTGGTGTACACTGTACGCGTGCATGCGTGGGCCCACACCTCACATTTGGTGCGTGGTGCGCACTACGCTTGCGCAGCCAGCAAACCAGTAGTAATCCTGTTCAAATTTCACCACTGGGTTTATGGTAGAATTTTCTTCCCTTAAAGAATGCTTTTTTAGAGGTCACTCCCAAATTACTCCTTTCAAGTAAATATTTATTTTCTACATCTCTTTTTCATTTCATTTTAGGGCAAGCGTTATAAAAACTCTTTGGAGACTGTGGGAACTCCAGATTCCAGCCGATGCCGGAGTGAAAAGAAAGCCATTAAGTAAGTCCCAGTAGGAACTATTGGAGTGAATGGGTTTGAGGTGTTTGAGTTGGTGATTGCATAAAGCTACATCACAAGGATAGGTTTAATATTATACCTTCAAGCTACCTTGTATCTGAAAACAAGGCATTTCCGGTCATTTTGATTCCAGTGGTCCAAAAATCACATTCCTATCTGCTCCACAACCTTATTATACCAAATATACTGTACATGCAGCTATACTCCTTATACTCTTGCACATTATTCATATTGTTCACTTTGGGTTAATTGTTCCTCTCTTTCCATAAAGACCACATTGTTCTTTGACTCCCTTATCAGATAACTTTCTTTCATTATTCAGCATACTAATATTTTTCCTTGTATTAGCTTAGCATATTGACTTACCTAGATAGTGGCCTTCCTTCCTTTATAATATCCCATATCTCATTATTTTAGGGTTACTGCGTACCTCACGATTTCAAAATCTATTTAATTCTTGTTATCCATCTGCCTTCCATCCTGGCCCAGGTCCATTCCATGTACAATTATTATCTGTTCCATTAACACTTCCCCATATCATAATCTCCTATCTTCTTTTTTTAAACATAGTCCAAAAAGGGAGACCTTCCTGTTAACTGTTAGGACATGAACAATCAGCTGAACATAAATCACCCCAACAGTGTTTCCTGCTATTGTAAAACATGTCTTGTAGGCACCATTTCAAAACTGTTCATTTGTATATAAAAACTAACACATGCAAATGTTGTAAAATTGTTTTCTCTTTTGCATGTTTTATCAAACAATTTGTAAATGGTTAACCTTTTTCATCTAGACACATCCTTCTTTTTCAGATGGTATCTTCTTCCCCAATTATTAACAGATGGCAAGCTTTCTAAGAAATGCCCAATGTTATTTAATGTGTAAGCCATTCTCACTTGTTACATTCTGGTCAGTTGAAAAGATTAATGTTTCTTCCATCTTTTGACAAATGATAAATTCTCTACCTGGAAGAGCAGTCAATTGATGTTTTCAGTTTATGGTCCTCCACATCTTAATAGACTACAACTCCAAGCAGCACTGGGAACATGGCTGATAAAGAAGGGTGCTAAAAATTGTAGTTGAGCAACATTTGAACCATATGTTCCCATTCCTGCAATAGGACTTAATCTCATGGCCAGCTGTAATGTCAAAGTTAGCATCCAGAGGAATAGAGAAGATTATTATGCAACCATAGATGTTTATATGGAAGCCTCTGTAATAAGCGGTTTAGATGTACAGGTTTAGTTACACAGAAAAGAAACAAACTTATCCTTTAGACCTTGCATATGAAAACAAAATAAGGACATGTTAATAGTAACTAATCTTCTTCTGGCATATGATGCTATTGTACCAAACAGTGGGATATTAGAAACCCTTATGGTTATCTCAGTTATTTCCTTGATAGAGCAATATAATTCTAAACATAGCTCATCTGACAATGGATTATCATTCACCCAATTATTTTACTTCATATTGCAAGGATATTTTAAGGTGAGTTAATTTTTTATGATCATTGCACATAGCAACAGATCACAGTGAAATAATATTTCTCTGTCATGGTCCCATAATTTGAATTTTTTATATCTAAGCTCCCTTGCAGTGGAACTGAATATAATCTCATCTTCAGGAATTGTTAAAAATGTTACACTCTGGAAAGCATGATTAAGTAATAATTTCCATAAAATAGCTGTTTCACCTTCTGATATAATCACACAAGCTTTCCCTTGGTTCTTCTCTGACATCTGCCTATGGGATTCCCAAATCTAATTTTCTACACTAAAGAACGCTGTAGAGTTTTGAGATTTGCTTGATGACGTTCAATGGAAAAGCTGGATGAAGGAACCTTGGTTATTGGCCCTGGAGATATGGTGATTTGGTAAAAGAAGTGTTACCTTAAAAAGTATGGACACCTGCAATTCTGCCTGTACATCTTCAGATGGGTTGATAAAATCAGTTGATAAAATTTCTGTCCCTCTGTGTGCATTCATGTTTGTGCATGCCTTTATATGTAATTGTGCATATATATATATATTTATAATTGTGTATAATATATAGCTATTTATGTGGTTGTGTGTGTGAAAAATATGTATATATGTATGTTGAAGATATGTGCTCATATATACAGTCGTTTGTTAATTCCTGGATGCATGGTCTCATCAGTAGTTTATGGTTCTAGGTGACACTATTAGCCAGTCCCTCAGCTAAATCAGACCAATGGATGCCATACTCGAAGGTCATTATAAATATGTGAACCTGATAGTTATTTCCCTTGTGCTTTTGATCTCTGTAACTTATCTGGAGGTCACAGATAATTATGCTGAGGGTAGAACAAGACCATTACAAACAATAGCCCTAAAACCTTTCTTCCTAGGGACTTGCCAGTAAATAGTTACAAAGGTGAATAGAAACACTCTTTTTAACAACACTCTGCAGCTGCAAAATGTTCACATCTTAGCTCCATATTGAAAGGTTCTACAAAAACTCTGGCCCAAAGGCACTTGCACACGATGAAGGAAACGGGCAGGCAGGCAGGCATAATGGAGTGGTTGGTTTCTCTACTTTTTTGCAACAGTTTTCATTCCCCCCCCCCCCCCCCCCCCCATTCTTGGTATCTTGTGGGTGGACCTTGAGTTCTTTGATGAACTCAGCCGTCCTTTATAGCAAGCTTTTCATCTTCCCTCTATACATGTCTCAAGAAGCCATCAAAAGGCTTTTAATTCCTGCAAATGGCAAGGACACTAGGTGAGTGGTAAGAGAAGTGGATGCAAGCAGATAGCCTGCAAAGAGCCTTTGATGTCTCTAATGAATTTGTTAGACAACCACTTGACTTCAAAAGCTATTGTGAAATCTCATATGTTGTGACTCAATTGCCATTGGAGGCACTCTTAAATTCAGAAGGAGATGGTTGGTTAGGCTCTAGCTGTTTACAGAATGGGTGATATAACCTACTTAGCAAGCACTATGAGCCCACAAATTCCAGCCTGAGGGAGATCACCCTCCTTCCGCAGAAGGAGATCTTCTGCTCCTTCTGCACAGCTGAGCAGAAGATCTACACAAGGAAATGCCACGTCCCCCAGGCTGTGTAGGCCTCTTCTTCAGGACAAGGACCTAAAGTTTTATCACTTCCCATGTTCCAAAGCTGTAATGACAAGGACAGGAAGAACATTCCAAGCCAGCCTCTTGCTTCAATTAAGATTTCTTTTTCCTGTTCAAGGGACCACTATTGCTCCTCCCCATTCCTTCAGAAACAATTTGAAGCCAACCCACAGTTGTGTTTGTGCTTATCACCTGAAAATGGCCAAGAGCAACACTGAAGGTTCTGAACTTATTTGAAGGTTGTTAGAGATATGAGCCAGGAGAATGGTTAAGGAAAGAGAATAGAAGAATGGCAATAGAAGAATGGAGTCAATGCAAAGCAGTAGCAGTCCAGGTAAAAAAAAAAATACTAGCTTGATCTGCAATTTCAGGTACATGCAAATGACCTGGATCTGGAATACAACTATTATCATAAATCAATTAGGTTCAGAACAGATTCAACTGCTGCAAAGCCCATTTGTGGAAGTGATCCTAGATTCAGTATGACAATTGAGCATTGACTAAGATTTCTTCATAACCTTGATGCTGTTTTTCCACCATCACTTTGTTATACATCTGATGAAAGAAATCTAAATAACTACTAAAGATAATTTTCTTTTGGAAATTATCTCATGGGCTTTGCCAATTAACTTATTCTCAAGGATCTTTGCTAATTGGGCAAAGAGGTGCTTTTCTCCAGTTTGATGCACAAATTCTGCACAGGAAACCGGAAAAGATTCATTCTCTGCACAACAGCAATAGTTCTAGCTAATGTTCCCACTATTTTATAAAAAGTTATTGTCCAAGATACTGCTTTGTTTTCCACACTACCCACTTTGGATGGAAAAAAATACAGAAAGGCAAAAATCCTGTCCCCCCCAAAAGGAAGAGTACAGGTAAGAGACAAAGTAGAATCCTGAGGGAACAGTCTTGGAATCATTTAACAGAGGTTTCTTTAACACGAATCCCTCTCTCTCTTTCTCGTTCTCCCTTACCATCAGCTCTGGAGATGCCTGCTCCTATCTTTTTTCAGCTTTGCCTTACCTATATATCATCTGAGTGTGTATGTGTGTTTGTGTGGACACATGGGTGTAAGGCACAGAGCTTTACCTTCCACAGGAGGAGAAGTCAACACTAACCTTGCTGTCTCTCATTTGGGTTATTTTTTTTTTCTCCTTCCTCCCCTTGCAGGAATTTAGATTCTCTCTCTTGTATTTCCCTTTGTTTTTTTTTTCTCCCCTCTCACCGGCTGATCTAGTGATCTAGACAGAGACTTTTGGAATAACAATGACAACACAGTGCAGCAGAAATGGAGTTCCTACCCTCCCAAGGAGTTTATACTAAACATATCACCTTACGCCCCATATGGTGATCCACGACTTTCCCTCAAGTGAGTCTCTCTTTAACTGATTTGATCATACATAGTGAGTATATGCACACCTCTTTCCCACTTACCCCTCCCTGCTTTCCTCTTCCCCCTCCTCTTCTTCCCCTCCCCTGCACTCTACTCCCTCCCCATGGACATATGGCCATGGAGACGAGCAACCCCTCCTCCCTTCTCTTTCTATCCTGCTCTTTCAGTGGTTCACAACTACTGGTTGGTACCCTTGGAATATCAGACTTGTGTTTCCATTACTCCAGGAACTCTCCTATTACCTGGGGCTCAAATTTTGGTCCCAGTGAAATGGAAAAATATTGTGCTGGTAGGTTTGTTGAAACCAGATTAAATAATTGACTCATTAAAAATTGAAGTAGTCAATCATACAACCGATTTAAAAGGTGGGTTTGGACCTAACAAATCCATTATGATTTCAGCCAACTGAAAGGGTTGGCACTGGATAGCAACTTAAACCCTTAAATCCATTTCAAAAGCCATTGCATTCCTTTTTTACTTAAGGTCTTAGCCCAGGCTTTTCCCCTGCTAGGCTTATATGGTGCTTCCAGTGGTTTGAGAACCATGCCTAGCAACTCACTGAGAAAGGTTAGCACCTTCCCTCCCTGTACCCTGGTTCCTTTGGCTCTCCTCTCCCTCACCCACCCACTCCTTTTCTGCAGCACAGGATGGGGTTGCCCGTTTTGGTCACCCTCTCAGCGTATTCTCTGCATCTGCACTGTGTGGTGGTGGTGATGGTAGTGGTAAGCTCTCTCACTAACATTGCTTTTTTTTCTCCCTTCGCCTGCACAGTGCCTCTCCTAACGATCTTATCCATTGTTCAACCCTTCGTTGTCTATGGAATTAACTTTGGCTGCAATCATAACTTCACAAGCCAGGGCTACCTGCTGCCTTTGACTGGGACAAAGGCTCTCATTGGCCCTTTCTTTTGCAGTGCTGATCTCTCTCTTTCTCTCTGTCTGTCTGTCTGTCCCTTGTCTGTCTCTCTTTTCTCGTTCTCTCTCTCTTTCTGTCTGTTCTCCTCTTCTTCATGTGACCTCCTTCTCATTGCCACCTGCCACCTCTCTTTCCTGACATACCATAGTGGCTCATTGCTGTCAGGTGCAAAGTTGGCTGCCTCAGCCACAGCTGGGTTGGCAGGAGAGCGAGAAGGATGCCACGGAGAGAGGCAGCAGCTCCGAGAGGACGGCATGAAGAGCAGCGTGTCTGCCCACAGCGAGCCCAGCATTGGGAAGGCGGGGAGAGGCCGATGGCAAATGGTGCAGAGCCACCTAGCAGCAGGGAAGCTCAGCTTATCCAAGTGAGTGAGAGTGCATCCCAGGCCTGGCATGACCTGTCCTGCTGGCCCCAGAGGCATTGCAGCTAGGAGCATGGAAGATAAACATGTCCAAATCCCATAATGATCTTTCTACTGAAGCCCAGACAAGCACTGAAAAATATAAGGGCTGTCATAATGACACTATAACAGAATGATCATAGTGTGGTGGGGATAAATAAATCTTGAGGCAGGTGGTTGTGTTCTTCCAAAAAAAAAAAAAAAGGTGGTTAAAGGCTTGAGAGAAGAGCTTTTTGACTTTTTAATGCTTTGAGATAGATTGCACATATATAAGCATGTAAAAGCTGGTCTCTGGTTGGGTCAATCTAAAAGTCTTTCGATAGACAGCAGCTTTTTCATCAACAGCTATATTGCTGGGTCCTTTAGAGTAAATATACTGTGAACCACAACATAATTCTAGAGTATACTCTTTAGTCATATGATTTATTCCCATCCTTCTGCAGTCACAAAATCATTCGGTACCTTGAACAAAAAAAAAAGGGTTCATGTAATCCATCAATTTCTAAATCTAGCTTGAATCCAGCTTTCATTGTTTACTCTTTTGCAAGAGAATCTCATTGCAATATCTCAAAACTGGTGAGCTGTTGTAGAAGAGAAGGAACAACTGACTAGTAAAGCACTTTTTGTATCAGATATTCCCTAAGGAACTCCCTCTAAGGAATTTATCTGTGAAATCTATTATCGCATTATGTTCTTAGTCACAGGCCAAAGACTGATGACCTGAAATAGGGGTTGTACATTTGATGTTAGATAAATTTCTTGTAACTAAACGGGGGGGAAATTGAGAGACTGGAAAATATCTCAGTTATCCATAATTTATTGCATTTGCTTCCTTATTTTCATCACTTTTTTAAAAAGCATCTGACAAGGAAGAAAGAAACAATGGAAGCGGAGTCTGATTAAATTCTAGTGTTAAATATAAACTTAAACCCTAATGGCCAACCTTCTCTTAGTAAGGATTCTTTTATGGAATCATTAAGATAACTTGTAATTTACCAGACATCTGGTTGACCACTGGTAGTCAACATCTTACAATTTTAGTATTGCCAGACTCTACTCCTCTTATTGCCTTTGTGGTTCACGTGCTTTGATTAAGTAAAGGAAGACAAGAGAAACAGCCTCCACTTACTCTATGTGTGACAATACGGATTGGGTCCAAGAAGAAAGATCAAGCTAGTAGAAAGGAGAACAGGCAGAAATAAAGGTCTTGCTAGAGAGGGATGGCCACTCCAGAATCTTTTCCTCAGAACCTCCTAAAAACCTGAAGTGCAAATTATTAATAGTTATACATAGAGAAAGTTGCACATGATGAAAGAGCTTTGGTATATCTTGTGCTACATAGTTCCCACCCCTGAGGCAAAGACACATTTTGGGGCAAAGGCAGTTTCCATATCAGCATGTGCTGCTTTGATGGAAACAGCATACAAATCTCATGCTGTACGAAGTAATAGGATAATGATTTTATCATGGATATTTCTAGGCTGCCAATCGTTATTTTCAAAATGATTATATTTCATTAGCCCACTGAGAATGAAATGTGCTTTGCTAAATCAGTATTAAGGGCTTGTAAGCTTGGAGACACCATAGCCAAGCTCACCTTGCTGCTTCTATGACTTGCACAATTACATTATGGCTCTTCTCAGGATCCATGGAGTCCAACACATTTGTCAGTGACCCAGTAAATCTTGCTCTACTGTCTGTCCTCCCCACCAGACCCGTTATCAGACTAGTGTCTCTAAATTCCAGTTTCAGCAAAAGGTTCCTCAAGCTGGATCTTTTTCATTTCCAACAATTTGGAAACTTTCTTTTAAGAGTTTTTAAGCATGTGACAACTCCTTGATAGAGTTCATGGACTTCAGCATGGTCAATATAGGATCTCTGTGGTTTCCTCTCAAAGCAGTGATCTGCTTAACTTACACAACGTGTGCCCTGGGATCATTTTGGAATTGTAAGGAATCAGCATCCCTTGGGCAGCTCTTCTAATCTCTAGGGCTTCCAAGATATAGCTTTATATATGTTAATGAATACAGAAATGTGTGAGGGAAGTTGTTTTGTAATGCTGTTTCCCACTCTATTCTCAACTGCAAGATCATGGTATCTAAACAGAGTAATATCATCAGAAATACATGTCCCTATCAGAAGTGGCTTGGATTGATTAGATTAAGTTGGAAGATTTCTTATTCCTGTGATAGAATATTTTATCATCCCCATAACGGGAAGCAAAGATTTGTCCTAAGAGATATATGTACCCACAGAATCATTCACTCTGAAGACTACCAGTACCATCAATTGCTGGTCTTACAGCTACCCAGAATGTACATGTAGCTCAGTTTACTTTCTTAGACTGTATCTTTTAAAACCATTGGATTTGTGATACCTTCCAGGACTATTTCAAAGCAAAAAAAACCCAGGTTCCCTCTATTCTGTCACCATTTATTATCATGCCAAAAATGTAAATGAATATTTGGGGAAGAGAGTATTTATCCAAGGTGTAAAAGAATACATAAGCAGTATATTCATATTTTCCAGACATTTAGTCCCAGACCTAGAGGCTTTTTGATCGTATAGCACTTTCTGTGGAGTAAATCAACCTGATATATATAGATATATATATCCCTCCTAATGAAGACTCTTGTCTCGGTGTCTGGCATGTGCGTTTTTGTGACTGAGTGCTACTGTGCTTTGTCTGTCTGTCTGAGATATAGCCCTTCTGTCTGTCTGCTTGCACAGTGGCCTTGTGATAGAAACTGGATGGGAGCCATCAGAAGTATCTGTTATATATGTCAGAGGGCCGGGTGTGGCAGGTACAGACCTTAGAGCACTGGGGCTTCTTCCTACCCATCATTACCTTGATAGAAATGCATGTGTTCTGCTTACTCCCAGCTCAGGGGAGCCAATTTTAGTTTCCTATGACTGAGAGGCAGAACTAATTTAGGATTTAATGAAAAAAGAAAAAAAACAGAAATGAGGTCACTACATGTGGAGCAAACAGGGAGGAGAAAGGCTGATTTCTGCCTTTTCCAAGCAGGAGTAGGTTAAGCTAGAGGCAGCCAGTACATAAGCAGAAGTACTTAAAACCTGGACCAAAGTAGGAAATGGAGAGAGATGTAACTCATTTCTTACAAAGATTTTCACAGTTCTTTCTTTCTTTCTCTCTCTGCCTCTATCTATCTATCTATCTATCTATCTGTCTATCTGTCTTCACATCTTCACTCTATAAAAAGTCAACCATTATTTTGTTATGATTTCCCTAAGCAATTCTGCTGATTTGAGTAAAGATGGTTTCAGGCCAGGGTCAGCAGCAGGCAAAATATGCTACCGTGTTTCCCCAAAAATAAGACCCTGTCTTATATTTTTTTTGAACCCTGAAATAAGCGCTTGGCCTTATTGCCATGCACTCAAAAGCCCGATTGGGCTTATTATTGGACCTGGATACCTTCGAGACCGTCTTCTGCCACCAGTAGCCTCCCACCGGCCAGTCCGCTCCCACAGAGAGGGTCTCCTTAGGGTGCCATTGGCCAAATTATGTCGGCTGGCGACACCCAGGGGGAGGGCCTTCTCTGTGGGAGCCCCTGCCCTTTGGAATGAGCTGCCCCCAGAAATTCGTAAAATCTCTGATCTCCGTGTATTTTGCTGTGCCCTCAAAACCTTGTTGTTCCGCCAGGCTGGGCTATCAAGGTAAAGATTTTAATTGGGTTTTTAAAAATGGGATTTTAAATTTGGGGTTTTAAATTGAGCCTATCATTTAATAATTTTAATTATTTTTAAATTTTGTCTGTCTTTGTGCTTTTAATCAGGCTGTACACCACCCTGAGTGTACACCCTTCGGGAGAAGGGTGGTATAGAAATTAAATAAATAAATAAACAAACAAATAAATAAATAAATAAATAATTATCAGAGGATGTCTTATTTTGGGGGAAACAGGGTAGATCCCAACTGCTATGAGATCTTAGTTTCTGAATATTCTTAGTTATACTTAAGAACTGGTTTGGCTTTATTTTATACACAAGTGACATATGACTATTTTGTGACTACTCACCCCATCTGGCTGCTCTAGAAAAAAACGTTAGGAGCAATAAGACTGGTGGGTGATCAGCTGACTGTGCTCCTCTCTGCTTTCACATGTTCATCTTCCTGTATCAGTGATTGGCTGCCTTTGTGATATACTCAGACAAATGGCTAGTCATGCCTTTCAGGGAATACTGTACCCAAAAGTATCTTTCCTAATCGGAATAATTTCACCAGTTTGCTTATTCAACCACTCCGTCGTATTCTGCTGCTTTACATTTGGTCGTGCATTTTCCATACTTCTTTTTGGCCTGTTCAAAAGTCCAGTTTTCAGTTTACTTGCAAGCATGGTTGTTTATAAATAGAGTTCAAGTATTACCCTGTTTCCCCCAAAATAAGACATCCCCTGATAATAAAACTAATCGGGCTTTTGAGCACATGGCAATAAGGCCAAGCGCTTATTTTAGGGTTCAAAAAAAAATATAAGACAGGGTCTTATTTTCGGGGAAACACAGTATTATTTTTTTAAAGACGCTAAATGGAAACATATTCTACCAAAACAAATATTCTGTGTTTCAAATAAACGATGCAGATGAATGGTCCTTGCAATCTGCCATTGATCTCGATATTGGAGCTTTTTGGGGGGGGGGATGTAGTATTTGAGGCAAGAATAGATGTATAAGATAGCTTTGTATATAGACCTTCCCATATTCAGCCCTGCAGGTAGGACTGGAGGAAGAAACCTGTCTGAGTCCCAGGCAAATCAATGGAGATGATGAAGTTATTTGATATGAGGTGACATCCTCACCCCATCCACCCTCACCATTCTTCCGATATTTCAATAATTTAAAACTTGCACAGCATATTTAATTCCTAGCAAAATATGCAAAGGCAGCCGCATAGTAAATGAACAGCCTTGATCTTGAATTCTTTATAATCCCTGCATGTTTCCTTCTGCGTTGTCTTATGTCATTATGATCAACCATGCCTGTTTTTCTCTTGTTGTTGGCTGTATGGGTAGCTATGTTGTGCACTGTGTTACTCAATGGCTTGTCCTGTGTGGTTAGTTGTGACAGCTTTCTGTACTTATTGTATTGCCTTTCAAGCTATACGTTCTGTCCTGTGCTTCACTGTCCACAGGCTACAGATCATACCTACACGAGTTCACTCACATCTACAGGTGTGTGGCCATCTTATATTTTTCCCTCCTATCCCTCCTGGTTTTTTTCCCAACTAGGCGACTAACTACACGTTATGTGCAGATGCATCTATTAGAGTCAATCAATCAATCTTTTACAGGTAGTCCTCAACTTATGACTACAATTGAGCCCAACATTTCTGTTGTTAAGTGATACATTTGTTAGCTGAATTTCGCTCCATTTTATGACCTTTCTTGCCTCAATTGTTAAGTGAATCACTGCAGTTGATAAGTTAGTAGCCCAGTTCTTAAGTGAACCTGACTTGTCCATTGACTTTGCTTGTCAGAAGGTCACAAAAGGGGATCACATAACCTTGGAACATAGCAATTGTCATAAATATGAAGTAGTTGCCAAATATCTGAATTTTGATCATGTGATGCTGCAAAGAGCGTAGCTTTGAAAAACAGTCATAAGTCACTTTTTTCAGTTCCGTTGTAATTTTGAACGGTCATTAAATGAACTGTTGTAAGTTGAGGACTATCTGTATTACAGTCACAGACCAGAATTAAAAATTAAAACATTAAAATAAATAGAACAAAGCAAAATATAATACTATATTACAGTTAATGGTGAGATCATCAATGGGCAGCCAAAGACTGCCCAATTTTACAGATAATATAGTAGAATTAAAGAAGCTGTATCCTACACTGATCTGATAATAATAAAAGAGATCAGAATTCTCAGATATTTTACCAGGTAAGGAATTATGATTCCATGAATCCTCATAGAGGGTACAATATAACAGGACATGAGTTGTGGTTTCAATCATCCCTTTTCCATAGGGCCACAATCTCAGATCATATGGGACATTTTTGTATTGGTCCTCCAGAACTGCTATGAAGAGAGCATTACAACATGCTAGAGTTAGTGCACTCTGAAATTTAGAGACTGTTGTATAGGTAGCTGGCTTATGAGTTGGGGGGGACTGACTGCTCAAGAAAATGTTCATACATAGAGCAGACACCTATTAGAAGGGTCTCAGTACCATTTTAGTTTCATGACTTTAGAAAAGTCTCTTTCGAAAATACAGTTGACAACGCATACAGGTTATTTTAAGTATTTTAAGATGGGTGTGCCATTTCTTCATTATATTTGCCTCACCAAGAGGCTCATCCAGGTTCCTTGTGTTTTTAAAAGGCAGACCTTTTACACTCCCTCTGCTTTTGGACTCCCAGCTTCCTTTTCTGAAATGGTAATTCTTACTCAGACAAATACCCCTGGGCCTCTCTCACACTCTCTATAGAGATATGTGTGTATATCACGTGTAGTTAGACTCCTAATGGCCACTCCAAGCATTACATTTTTCAAAAAAGACCTGCCTCTTAAGAGATTTGCTTAAAAATGTATATCATGTAGGTGCACTCATTGAGAAGCTGTTCTTGGCTGCAGATATTCTTCACTGAGTATATGCTCAATATTGCACGAAAATGTATAACTTTGTGAGATGCAAAATGACCTCCAAATCAAATCCACTAACGGCCATAATGGGGGGGGGGAGGCTGCAATTTGTCTGAATCCATAGAGATAGCCCTATGATCAAAAACTGTAAATGTCATCCAGTCAGGTAGAGCCACACCAGAAAACAGTAGCACTGTTTTTCAGACAAGAAACAATGGGCTATTTACTATCAAGAGTTACGAGGAAAGCTTAAGCCCAGATTTTTCTGCCTTATGATGTGCTCCTGAGTTGCTTTAGGAGGATGAGCAAGATGTGATGGCAAGAAACCTGTGGTGTTAAGCTCTGGTCCTTACCAAACAGTCAAGAAGTAAACAAAGTCCATTTCAAAGAGAGCTAGGGCAAAATCAATTAGTTAAATCTTCTCTTCATTAACTCCTCTGCTAAAATGAAACACTTATAGATACATACTCATAGTTCTACAGAACCCTTTCCTTGGCTTCTTTTTCCCTAGCTGACCAAAATTAAGCTCAGATGGGAACAGGGGGATAGTAGCTACAGAAGAGTGTCATTCATAAATAGGAAACAAATGGTGAAACTCCTGCTAACACATCTTGTCTTCCTTTAATTCTAGCAACTCTTTGGCAATGACAGAAGCTTGAAGAAACAGACATGCTAGCAGCAAAGCTACTTCTTCCCTCACACTGTTGCCTCAGTTTCCTTGCTCAAAAAGGAGATAGGACAGTGTTCAGGAACAGCAACATTAAACCCAACACTCCTGTAATAATAATAAAAAAACCTTGCCTTAGTTGTAGGGATGTCACTGTTTCCTGGGGCTTTCCAACAAGCTGTAGAATGTATGTTTCTGGTTATCAGGCAGTTCTCAAAAGCATATAAAGCTGACAGTAAAGAGGATAGACACCATTTTTACATGCAATTACCTAAGAATATTATGATGTGCTCTGGAGGACAGTGCTACACCTACTCAAGAGAAAGATGGGGCTGCAACTTCACTTGGGGTGGGGGAAACAGAGCAGGGTGTGTGACAGTTCTGAAAATCTCCACCATTTCAAGGAACAGCTTCAGAGGGAGCCAATAGGGAAAGCAATTGTGGAAAGTGTCACATGTCACAAGCAACCCAGCACAGGCACCAGGGAATTTGCCTTCAGAAAGCAGTCTAATTAGTTTTGAAATGAGGATTGGCATTCTGACTCTCCTTACAAGCTTGGGAGAAGGAAAAAGAGAAGTGGCTTGTGAGCACTCTCATGCTGAACCCCAAGACTGGAAAGGATCTTGTGATCATGGAAGGGTACAAAATGGCCACAAGGCAGGAGACCTACGCTGCCAAAGATTCAGAATTAGAGGCACAGCTCCCAAGGACAGTCTGTCGCTTCCAACCATGCCTGGCTGAGAGAATGCTGTGCTGGGGCATCTTCTCTTTAACACTCTGCTTTTCCTTCCTCCAATTTTGCCCCTTTACCTTCTTCTCCTTTTTCTCCTTTTCCTTGCCCTCCACCTCCGTAAGTTTTGAGGATTCCACCATGTCCACAGCCACTACCCTTGAGTATATCCCCACCTCAGCAGGAGACCCGAAATGCCAGCGCCCGCGCACCCTCTTGCGCCAGCAGAGCCTCCAACAGCCACTCAGCCAGCATCAGAACCCCAGCCACAGCCAGCCCACCACCAGCCAGAGCCTGGGTCACCTGCAGTCCCACACCAGCTCCACCTCAGCCACTGGCAACCCTCGGGGCTGTCGGAGTGGGCAGTCACGGCAAGGGACCTCCGCTGGCTCCAAGCAGAGGACAGCTGGTGGCCGTAGCCGCTCCAACCCTGGGAGCTGGGATCATATGGTGGGGCAGATTCGGAACCGAGGCTTGGATATGAAATCTTTCCTGTAAGTTTCTTTGCTCTTTTCACTTTCTTTCTGTGTGACTTGCATTTGTTTATTGTTCAGTTTGGTGAACGTTCACTTGATAACTGTGCTGCAGTTAGCTTCAAGCTGATTGCAGACAAGCCAATAATTTGCCTGCCTTATTAGTCTGTCCTTTGTTGAGAAGCAACTTCTTTCTTTAAACTCCTCAGAACTGGCAACATGATGTGGAAGAGTCAATTCTCTCAGTACAGAAAAGACGCTTCCTAATTCCAGAGAAGGAGGTTTTCCTTACTCTTACCTATTGCAACCATTCTAGTCCTTATGCAGTTTCATTTCTTAACCTTTCTAAAATGCTCAGTGAAAATCTTCAGATGTTTTTCACTTAACAGCCACAGATAAAGACTTTGCTGTCCTCTCAGAAAACAAGTACAGCGTAAAGTGTTTAGAATATGGAGAACAAGGTCTCAGAATAAGGGTCAAATTAGACAATCTTCTAATTTATTCTCTGTCCGGGTAATGTAATTTTCTGCATCATTTGAGCAACACGGGGGGAGGGTGGGGGTGGCAGTAGAATTGTATAATTGTATCACATCCTCAAGTTTTCAGAAGCTAATTGGGGGCTTCAGGGGCTAGAAGAAAGAAGCCACAGCCACAAGTCTGCCAGTAGCCTGTGGAGTGCAGTTTGATCACCTCTGCTGATAAAGGACAGAGCCATGCCACTGACTCTTGAGGGATCTGAACTGCCTCTTCTCCCTAGAATAATTTTGCCTTGAGTGGGAAGAAGAAAACTAAGGGCTAAAGGAAAAATCTCTTTTGTGCACTGACTTTACAGGAGAGCTGGCAAATGTCTCTGAAAGGGGTGCTTCGCTGCCTCCTTCTCCTTCGCAAAGAGTTGGTTTTCTTATTCATGACATCCTGCCTGTCCTTCTTGCTGTGAGCTGTAAAAGAAGATTTGTCAGAGCAGTTTGAAGTGTGCGTTATTTTTAATCTGTTTTCAATACTTTCCCTGTTGATGACAGTTTCTAAATTCCAAGCCCGGAGAAATAATCCGAAGCTTTGCTCTTCCCTTATCAAGAGGTGTGACAAAGTCCATTATTTTCTTTGGAATGGGGTACCGTCAACTATCCTTTACGTTTGGTTTGCCTGTACAATACTCTCTCTATCATCTTTTGATCTAAATGGGACATAGCAAAGCGAGGTTGTGGAGTATGTAAATACTATGAAGTACATAGACATGTCTGTACTTGTCTTGTGTGTTTCCACACCTGGAAAATCTAAGTTGTATTTTATATTCCAGTAGCTGAACACTCCACTCATATTTACATCTAGCTGCACATCACTGACAATACAAACACAAACACATCTATATATTACTAGCACTAATATATTCTGCTTTCTTTCACTGATAGTCAGGAATAGTTGAGATCAAAGATTCACATACACATAGAGATAATTGGTTTAGCCAACAATACATTGTTTAGTGAACCTTACCTCATAATTATGTTTCAAGGTGCATAAAATTAAAACAGCATAACAGGTCCAAACTTGTTAAAAATCTTTCGGTAAATCAGCTTTATAAACACTGTTGCAAGAAATGGTGTCTGTAGTGTTAGGAGAACAGAGCCATCATAGAGCCATCTTATAAATGTATTATATAGGAATAGTGTTAATTACTAATAATTGCTGTTGTCTTTAGATATGCATATATTCCCAAATAGAGCTAATAGACAGTGATGAGGTACCCTTGATAGTATAATGTCTATCAAACTTTGTTGCAAATAAACATAATGATTATGAGAATGGTAGCAGGATTGAAAGGTAAATTACATTATGAAAAATCAGAGGCAATTAATGTATTTAGTGAGAAGAAGATTAAGAAGAAGGAAAAATATTATTTAGAAGTAAAATAGAAGAGAGAATTACTCACAGAAATCAAAGAAAGTAATGTGCAAAGGCTTTTCATTTTAGAAAATATTTTGGCAAAATATTGGTAGAATATTTTAATATTTTAACTTTAACATCAGCATTTGAGCAATGTAACATTGGTAGTAATATCTGATGTTCTGAAGTTTTCAGGGAACAGCTTGACAAATATTTTTCAGGGCAGGATCTTATCCAAGTTGGTGTTTAATGACATTCCTTCTAGCTTTTTTTAAATTAATTATTACATTTAAAATATTCCTTAAGTGCTTTATTAGTGTAACAGAGATAGCAGCTATTCTTCATAGATGCTTTCTCTAAAAGATAGATTTTTGTTGGAACAGGAGACAACAATCTCTTGCTTTTTCCCCCAGGCTAGATTTTTCCATTTATTTACCAAAGAAAAAAGTAGCTGGATGGATTGATCTGTCCAGCTTGAATTGGGAATAGACATTTTGAAGAGAGATTGAACTCAGTTGTGCATAAATGAGGCTGCACTAAAATACTTTTGTCAAAGATTTCCAATAATGGGGTCCAATATTTAATTGATTTATATAGCAGTGTTTCCAGTCTTCAGCCGAAACATGCACATTATGATGATTTATCAATACAACAATGTCATGATACCCGTATATACAACATAATCAATTTTAGGCAAGCCACTCAATATGTTTTCTTTGTGCTGGTTTTTATCGATGCCAACCTTAAACAGTTTTCCATCATTGGAGCTAGGGAGAATTTTTTTTCTATCCATGCTAATTAAATTGTAGGCAGTTATTTTTATTTTTTTAATTTATTTATCACATTTGGAACCTCCTGTCTCCCTCACAGAGGGACTCCAATAGTGACAGTGATGGTAGTGGTGCTTTCAAAATTATATATTTATCCAAAAAAAAAAAAAGCTCAGAGTGGTTTACAAAGAAATTCTAAAAAATAAAGATACAGAATATCATAAAATGCAGCATTCATATAATAAGATTATGATGAAATCCAGAAGAGTCAAAGAGAACAAAAGATAAGGAAGAAGTGTCCAAAAATGACTTTAAAGAGGACAAGGAAAGTAAAATGTGTTTGTCTGCTACCGAAAGAGCATGATAGATAGTGCCAGACGGGGCCTTTAAGAACTGTGGAACAAATTCATTTATTCATTTTTGTTTCTCTTGTCTTACAGATAGACATAGTGATATATAGAGAGAGGCATAGAGATAAAAATTTTACAGAGCCAGTGTTTTTACTTCCTAACCAATCAGCTCAACATCTAAAAACCATCGGAGAAAAGCCTACAATCATTTAAGGCAGCAATTTTGAGAATTCCAGCTGAATAGCCTGAGCAACTCTTCCCCTCCAATTAATGAGGAAGTGCCAAAAAAAGAAAGCATGGTTCCCTCCCCATTCTTGTTTCCTTCCATGGTTGTCTTGGGGAGCTTTATTTAAAAGGCTCAACTGCACTACATAAATTAATGGCCAAATGGCCCTCTGTTCTATTTTGAGACTCCAGAGAAATGGTGGAATATCCCTACAAAGGCTTTGCGGCATTGAGAGAGGTAAAGCCTGAGAGATGGACAATAGGAATCTGTCTATCTTGCCCAAGCATCTCAAATCGCCTAAGAGAAGTGACGAGGCCAAAGCTCTATGTAGAAAGTGCCTCTAGCTTTCTCTTCATTTACATGGTTCCTGGTTTATAGATGAATTTCATTTGAGCTCTGGGGGATTGTGGTCCTCTCTGCACAGCATCATTTGCTTATTGATTGGAAAAAAAGCTTCCACTAAATAAGAACAAGCTACTTAGTCCAATTGATGTTCCTTCTCAAGAAGCTACAGCTTTTAAATACTCTCACTCTCCTAGCCCAAACAGTAGAAAAGCCAATACCTTTAGGTTTATATTTAAAAAGAAATCTGGGTTTCCTTGTATCCAGTGTTGATGCATTTATCCTTTCCAGGCCCAAAGGAGGCTGAAATAATAAGGCCTTAATGTCTGAAGTCAGCAGGCAAATTATTCGTTCTGACAAAGATCACATCTGCACCTTTTAAAAAGAGTTCTATATGTTACAAATTTAGAATGAAGATTAAAAACCTCATTTGAGTCAATGACACTCGGGCACGGTTTTTGTTTGTTTGTTTGCAACAGTAAGGAGATGTTTTGCCACTGTTACTGTCAAGGATGTTTTTCAACCATTCAATCTAGCCAACAACTGGGATTCCCTAAAATCTCCCAACCAAGGACTAACCAGACCTAAGTGCTGCTCTCTGGTGAACCCTGTACAGAATAGACCAACAATCAAAGTTTTAAATCCAAAGTACCTCTGCATCCAACCCTAAAAATAGTACACCAGTTATAAAATCTGTGGTATAAACAAAACTTTTCAATATAAACGGACAAGAGAAAGGCTAATTAATCCATTCTTTCACAAGGATCTCACAAATGTCACAAATGAATCTCAAGCAGTTCCATAGACCCACCCCTTCCCTTGCTTTGGGTGTTTTTTTTTCCCCTCTTAAAAAAAAACTGGCCCTAAACATTTTTCTCTTTAGAAAGCTGATTAGTTATAAAAACTTATTTCACTAAAATTAGCAAGGAAATTGAGAGTACCCAGAAACAGAATAATCTTTATAATAATTTAATGAACGTTTTGTAGAAAACTGATACTTAAACTCCAGTAAAAGAATGGATCTCAGTTAATGACAAACACTTAATCTTGTTATCAGACATAGAAGTGGGCAGGGACACTCGTTATCTCCCTCTGATCAGTACCTATCAAACATATAATGCAGCCTAGGAGGACATTAGGCCATTTAGCCATTGGCCATTCTTGATCTGAATGTACATATTGTACATTTTAATATATGATGGTATTAATAAATAGTTCCAGCTAGATGAGCAAATTGAATCTCTTTGGAGAATCTCTTTCCTTGCCATTTTTATCCTAATTTTTTATGCAGGTGCAGGACATCTGGGGAAAGATTAACAAGAGTCATAAAATGTCAGAATAGTTTTCCCTCTTCATTGTTACATGTTTCCCCTTATGTTGAGTGAGGTTCTTTTTCTAAATTCAGTATTTTACAATAAATCTTGCCAACTGGCTTACTTTGAATTGGAAAAG